GAACCCAAGAACAGAACTAGTGCAAGTTCTCTGTTTCAATGCTTTAAATGACCTGAGTTGCTATGTTTGAAGAATTACTATCGTCTGTGTGATTGTATATGACACCTACTGCTCCTCACATAGTTTTAATGCTTCAGCTGGTTGAAACTATAGTTTGTGTTGTTGTCTTTCATGGACTGGCGTGATGGATTAGGGTTACATATATCAAATATTGTTTTGATCCTCGTTGAAAATAGCCTCCTTGAAATGATTACTGCCTTCTCCTTTCATCTGCTCATCTAAGGATGAAAATTTACAAGAAGCTGTCGTCCATAATTTTAATGAAACTATTGTTTGGAGATTTTTTTATACGGAAGTGACCGCAGTCTGAGAATAAAGAAAGAAGCTGCATGTTTTGAGATTTGAATTTCATATCTACTCAATACCACTTTTTAAAGGTGACTTCATAGACTAACTTTTCTAAGCTTCGAATTCCTATTATTTGGAGATTTAATATAAAAGTTTCATACAAACTTGTTTTGTTTATATGTTCTTATTCTATTAGATAAATATTGTAAGCCAAGACTATGTATAGTACTTAAATCAGAAAAAATACATCTCTACTGGAACTTAGGATGATAGGGTGGTACTTAGATGTTTCACCATCGTCAGTTCTTCACTCTTTTGACATATAATATTGCAGGATGCCAGAAGAAATTGCATCAGAAGTTGACTGTTTAGTTTGAAGCAAGTGGCTCAGACAACAGTCTAGTTGGCACTTTACCCAAAAATGAAAGTCCCAGGTTGAAATCAAAGAGAGGACCCTGAAGATATAATACTTATGTTCAGCAAATAGTCATAAAACCAATCCATTCTTTAAATTTTACTAAATTTGGATTCAAGTTTGAGCATCATAAAAAGTGCCATCATACTCCTTTCTCTTTTTTTATTTTATTTTTTTAATTTGGATTAAAATAAATAGAAAAAAGGGAAAACAATTTTCCTTGGCCTATTCTACTTAATCTGATCCATACTTCACGTTGTCTCTACAACTTTTATCCAATTCTTTCAATTCTTCCACATCGTTCACTTTCAATTATTTGTCCTTCATAACTATTTTACTTTTCATATAGCGTGGAAGAAGGAGAAGGAGAAAAAGAAAAAGGGAGAAAAGACTCAATGGATTCTTGGAAATTAAAGCCATTGGAAAGGTTTCATTTTTTATTTTAATAATTTTTTATTAATTTTCTCTTGAACTTTATGGGTAGAAAAAGAAACAAATGTGTTTTTTTTGGGTAAATTTCATTTAAGTCCTTAAGTTTTAGATATAATTCAATTCAAGTTCATTAGTTCAGTTCATTAATTTAAAAAATAAATATTCTGCCTCAAACTATTCAATTAATAGGACAATGGGGTTCTTATATTAGTTATCTCTTAATTATTTCAATAAAAGTCTTATTAAAAGATAATTTTACTTTTTAAAAAATTAATATCCCCAAATATTCATATAAAGTAATGATTTATATAAATAATTTTTTTATTTTTTCTTAAAATATATAAAATATATTAATAATATATAAAATTTTTTTAAGTGTAATATATAAAATCAAAATTCACAACTATAAATAAGCTAATATGTAAATATTTATAATAAAATGAATATATTAAACATGTAACAATAGGGAAAATATGAAATTTTTTGGAAAGATTGATTTTGGAAAATTTTTGGGAATTCGACAGCAAGATAACACAATAAAAACAAAGACAATCAACAAAAACAATTAAAAATAATTGTTTTGTTAAAAAATTCTTTTTTAGAGTTTTCAAGTTTAAAATTTTATTGGCATTATGCTCAATTTTGCTTTGGACAATGATATAAAACAGTGGTGTCGATTATTGATTTTTTGGTATTTGTGATTTTTGAGATAAATTTTTTTTTATGATTGTTGAATTTTTCAATCATTAGTTTTTAAAAATCCCATTGAAATATAAGTTTATTGAATAAGACTTGTAGATAGAACTAAGAGGAAAACAAAGATGAAAGAGAGAAGAGAGAAAAGGAAAATTAAAAGAATGATTTTTTGTTTTCATAACAAGTTAAAATAACATCATTTAAAAAAATGAGCTTGGTGCAACTCATATGTTGACTCATGTATTAACGTTATTACAATTCGACCTATTTGCATTAAAATTTTTTTTGCATTTTATTTGAGTTTTATTTTACTTGTTTTAGGTTAAATTTTAAATTTGATAATTAATTGATGTATAAGAACCAAATTCGAACGCATATTAAATATTAAAGTAAAATGACTAATTTCATAATTTAATCAAAATATAGGAAGAAGTCGTATAATTTAAAAAAAATTGATGTGACACTAGACTTGATAATTTATGTATTTGTATCATATAAAATATTGAAATTTGTGTATTAGTGCCGTGTTTTATATGAAAATTATATGTCATAATTAATATCGATATGAAAATATAAAATATATTTTTTTATTTTGTTAAATCTAAATATAATTATTGCTAAAATTTTAAATCATGTCACTTTCTTGTCTTATATTCGTATCATATTTGTATCATGTTATCATATCATATTTTAGATTACTAAGTTTACTTGACACCTAAGCAAAGTTAATAGCCATGTGAGCAAAAATACTATGTCAAAAAAGTCAAAATATCATGTCATCAATTTTAATGAAAAAAATTTGAATCCTTAATAATTTGATTAAATTTGACAATTTATTAAAGTATAAGGATTCAATTTGAACACATTAAGATAAACAAATTAATTTCATCATTTAACTAAAGTACATAAATCTATTATATAATTTGACCTAAATTCAAACATAAATCTTTGATTACTCAAGTTGTTTCTAATTTCGAATATGATTCTTTTTAATTTTATAAATTGATTATTGTATAATAACTGATTCTTTGCAATCTTCACCAACATCATAATATATCAAATTTTTTTTACCAAACATACTACTGTCATTTGTAAGTCAAAATCAAAATCTATTTATCATAACTCATAAGTAAAACTTTTTTATAGAATTTAAACAATAAGAAGAACTTTAAATACTTGAATTTATATAAAAAATATAATTATGAACAATAATCAAATGCATCATATTATTTTTTAAATTTTCTCAAATATCTCTAAAATTGAATTCATACTCACCATCATCAAGTAAACAAAATCATCATTAATTATTAAGATCTAATCAAAATATAAATAATTTTTTATACTTGTATGATTTCAAAAATCCTTTTTAACAAGAACATATATATTATAAGACAATTACTCTTTCAAAATAAACTTCTTCTTCATTTTTTTTTTTTGGCCAAATTTTGGAACTGCCCAACTGCAGGAAGCCTTTCCTGCTTGAGGCTGTGGTCAAAGCTACGTTGCGGCTTTGCCAATGCGTCTACTTGTACCCTTGTGGGCACTTTTCTTCATCATTAATTGTATTTGAAAGTCTTGAATCAGTCACTAATGATTCATTTAGACCCTCTAAATAAGAAATTCATTCTATTTTGAGCAAAATAGTTAAAATTATTGGATGAGTAGAACTCATTTTTCTTTCATATATATATATATATTTATCTATTGAATCAAAGGTAAGGGATGGGGAGGATGGGGTTAAATGTTAAATCCCAATATTAAGATATAATATAATTATATTATCTTAAAATAAAATTTTAAAATAATACGAAATTTTTTTTAATTATTCTAAATTTTTTTAATAAAATAATTTGTCTAAACAAAATTCATTACTTTAATTTAATTAATGATAAATATTTATATATCTAAATATAAACTAATAAAAATATAAAACTATTTCGTAAGATTTCATTAACCAACAAGGTTTCAATGTTTAAGTAATCTTTTTGATTTGCTCTTTTAATTTCTCACAAGATTAAATAAACTTATCACTTACTCATATGTAAAAAAAAATATAAAAAAAATTAATAAATCATAATTTAACAAGTATAAACTTATATATTTTACCAAATAAAATATTATTTTCATACATATTATATATATTATTTAAAATATTAATCAAATCATAACATCAAAATATTTAAAAAATAATCATTATTGTTTGGAGATTAAATATAAAATTTCCATACAAACTTGTTTTGATTATACGGTCTTATTCTTCTAGATAAATATTGTAAGCCGGGACCAGTACTTAAATCAGGAAAAATACATCTCTACTGGAACTTACGATGATAGGGTGGTACTTCGATGTGTCACCATCTTCAGTCCTTCATTTCTGTGACATCAATTATTGCAGGGTGCCACAAGAAATTGCATTAGGAGTTGACGGATTAGTTTGAAGCAAGTGGCTCAGACAAACAGTCTAGTTGGTACTTTACCTAAAAATTAAGGTCCCAAGTTGAAATCGAGGAAAACGAGACTGAAGATATAATGCTTACGTTGAGCAAACAATCATAAAATCCAATTTCTCCTTAAAAATTCAAATGGTTGTCAATTCGCATAGATGCACATGCACAAGTAGGTTGTACATGAACACCTCCAAAAATTGAAAAAGAAATAATTTTAAATAAAATTTGATTTTAAATATTTTTTATTGATAAAATTGATAAACTTATTAATAATTTTATATATTATAAGTAGATATCTCTAAAAAAAAATCTTAATCCACCTGTCGATAGTCATAACTTATTGACTGATAAAAATCCCCTAACTTGAAGCCTAAGGCATATGACTAACATAAAAGTAATGAATAATACCATAATTTTAGGGCAAAGGGAACAATGATAGCTATTAACGAGAGAGAGAGAAAAAAAAAAAAAAAAACTTCCTGCCCTTTTTGTTGGTAATGATAGCTAGCAATGCCTTGCAATAGTTTGCCATAATTGTCTATATTAACTATGCTGTATAACTAATGCATTGTCAGACTTCCAAATATGAAATTCTTAATTGAATTACTACTAATATCAAAGTCTAATGGAAGATGTCTGCTGAATAACATAGCAGGAATGTTTTATCTAGCTTCTAGCATGGTTATGGAAACTGCATTTTCTGTAATTGATTCTTCTTTACTTGTAGTTGTAGCACTAAAACTGTTGCAGCTTTTCCTTTGTATGAAGAAACCAGGTTGTTTAGGTTGAGGCAATGTTGCTTCTTCATTTGTCAGCTTGAAAATAACAGATGAAATTGGTGGCCTGTCTTCTGGGAATTCTTGAACACACAATAAACCAACCTGGATAACTCTGACCACTTCAGACCTAACACATGATTCTTCCAGGCTTGTGTCCATCAGTTGCAAAGCTCTATCTTCATTCCAAAGCAACCATGCCTATGCGAATCTTGCATCGTTAGTTACTCAGTGGAACAGATAGAGGGAGAAGGAGGATGGAGAAGAAGAAGAAATGAGATTTCATTGTTATGACTTACATGACCTAGAAGATTGTAGCGGTGATCAGAATGATTGTATCCTCTATTCTTCTTACCACTTACTATTTCTAACATAAGCACACCAAAGCTGAAAACATCAGATTTGACTGAAAATGTTCCATCAATTGCATACTCAGGAGCCATGTAACCACTGCATTAAAGCATATTACATAACATACACTGTAGCCTGGCAATAAGAGAAGGGACAACAGATACTGGAATTTGAACCCCAAACGTGCTAAAAAGAGGTAGTAGTAACTTACTATGTTCCAACAACTGTCTTTGTTTTCGTTTCCTCATCATTGCCACCAAAAATTCTTGCCAAGCCAAAATCTGAAATTTTAGGGGTCAGATTGCTGTCTAGTAAAATATTGCTTGCTTTGAGATCCCTGTGAATAATTTGAAGTTTAGAATCTTGGTGGAGATAGAGTAGCCCTCTTGCGATCCCTAGAATGATATCAAACAGCTTTTGCCATGATAGTTGAGCTCTTCTATTATGATCTGCACAAATAATTCCATGTAAATGTCAAAATTATGTCTGGCATATTCATTTGACAGTAAATATAATGTATAGGAAATCAATGCAACTGATTAATGGATGAAAGGTCAAGAGTCTGAAACCAAAGATAAAGTAATTCAAGCTTTTGTTGGGCATAAACTCATAGATTAACATCCTTTCATTTCCTTGAATGCAGCAACCCAGCAGTCCAACAAGATTCCTGTGTTGGAGTTTGGCTATCAAAACTACTTCATTCCTAAATTGCTCAACACCCTGTTCTGAGTCCTTTGACAGCCTCTTAACTGCTATTTCCTGCCCTGTTGGAAGATTTCCCTGCATATTGTCCAACCATATCGGTATAGTGTTTGTTAGATCTGTCAATTAGTGTATCCGTATCTTGTAAATAATTGATAATTTGTATATTCGTATCATATTTTATACAAAAATTATGTATTACAATTTGTATTGACATGAAAGATACAAAATATATTATTTTTTAATTTTTGTTAAACACATATATGATTTTACTAAAATTTTAAACTGTCACTTTCGTGTCTTTTTTTATTTTTTTGGTCGTGTCATCTTCTTGTGTTTTAAACTGCGTATGTTCTAGCAAGCAGCTAACTAATACCTAGTCCATGTTTCCTTACCATGTAAACAGGGCCAAAGCCACCCTCTCCAATGAAATTGGCATAAGAGAAATTATTAGTGGCACTTTCTATGGTTGACAAGTCGAACAGGGGCACTTCTGCTTCGTCTTTCCCACCTTCCAGTCTTATTAAATGAAGTAATCCATCTGTAATTCATTGAGTTTGATCTCTTAAAGACTGTAAATATGTTTGAAGAAAATCAGCGAGGTTGGATGAGTACTCTTACCTCTTTTCTTTGATTTCTTCCAAATTATGCAGAATACCAGGCCCAAGATAACTGCACTAGAAATGATTGACACCAGTAGGATACGCCTTAATCTGACCCTCGTACTTGAATCAACGGTTGATCCTGGAAAAGACAGTGTCAAGCCATGGCAAATTCAAATTGCGAAGTAAGGTATCCATGAACACTCTAAAGATTGAAAAACAAAAAAATTGAAGGAAAACACGCCAAAATTTTCTGCTGGGCACACTTCCCCTGATAAAATTAATAAATCCATGACAGTTTTTTATATATATTTTAAGTTAGATGGCCCAAAAAATCTTAATCCGCCACTGGTGTCAAGAAACTGGATTATTAATAGGGGCAGTGTTTTGAGAAAGTGGTACATACCAAGATTTGAAGCCAACAGTCTTACATAGACATCTTCTCCTCTGTACATTTCTGAAACTTCTCTGATATCCATGAGGTCACCAAACCACATCAAACAGCTGCTGCCTCCTTCACTCGTATTCATATTAGCATAAGCTGTACAAGAACAGTTCTTCAAGCATTCAGCCTCACACTTCTTGAGGCTCATACTTTTATTCAACTGAACTTTTAACAAATCCGGTACTTTAACCCCCACAAGCCTTAGAAATCCTTCTCCCTTTCGACAGTCTAGTGATGATTCTCTTACACAGTTCGTAGACAATGACTTATTTGTTCCTTTTCCTTCTTGTGATTTGGGGATGAAACCTGTTAAACACTCACAGGTATCTGATCTCCTACTGCTGCATATACTATTAGCACCACAGAGTCCATAGCTGTCACATTGATCAAATGGAGCTGAGTACAAAGCATCCCATTCATTGCTCCCTTGATTCAATATAAGACGCTGTAAATAACCTGACTGATTCAACCATAATCGCATGGTAATTGCAATGCTGACAGCTTCATAAATATAATATACCTCGTTCTCATTAGAGATGACAATCGGTTTGAAGACTAAATTTGGGACTGCTGGAACAGCTCCAAATCCAATTCCATTCCATGGTCCTGTACGGTAATTTGTCATTAATCCTCTTTCTATGACTAACTGAGGTAACCCATTTATGTCAATTCTGTAGGTGAAGCTTCCAGGAGATGGATCTTCAGCACTTTTCCATGATGACAAAAATCTTTCCTCACCAGTCTTTAAGTTCCATCCTATTTTCATGCCTGCCAAAAGTGTGTCAGATGGGTAATCAAAGCTTTGCCACAAATAGCTTTGGGTCATGCTTTTGTTCTCCCTGAGAACAAGGTTTCCTGTATCTAAGAGCTGCGCCACAGGATTTTCTGCTGGCCCAGACAAATTGGAAGACCATATGACATTCCTTGTCTGGTTCAGAAGGACAAGATTTCCACTGTCACTTACAGTTAAAACCCCTTTCCCATCAGCAATTGGGTTGTTTCTGTTAGCAACCCAAACAACTGCTCCAGGGCTGTTCTGGAACCATATACCCAGGTATCTGTTTTTGGAGTTTCCTGGTGAGAAGAAGCCTAGTTCAAAGGTTTGGGATGGGGAAACCAGTGTCTCACCATCACTCACAGATCCTTCAACAGTTAAAATATCAGCTTCCTCTGACAATTCCAGGAGTGACAAAATTACTAAAGAGCAGAACAAAGCGAATATAAGAGCCCTCTCCATTTTAAAGTCTAGTTTTCTTCTAAACAAATTCTCTCCTGGCCTGCACAAATTGCAATGGGTGTCAAGATAAAGTGATGTTAAATGATGATTTGAAGTGCATCCATCACCATAAATGAAGAATCAGACTTCTTGGTTTTGAAGTCCATTATAATTCTTATCTTAATTTATAGCTAAATGATGCTTGACTTCCAAGTCTTGCAAATTTTAGGTCTATTCCATCACATCAGATTTAGAGTTTCCGTCTCCAACGGGCATTCGGGAACCAAGTTTTCAAAGCAATGTTGTCACTTCTACTGACCTGATAGCAACTTTTGTAGCCATCGCTGTATTTTTCAAGTTTTGGGAGAAAGGTTAGTGAATTAAAGCTGGTTGTTCAGCCTTCAATGAGGCATCCATGTGAGTCTTAGATGTCTCATTGTCTGCATATCAATTCCCAGACTGTTACTCTCCTTGCAAGTTGATTGTTATTTCCACTTGAGTTTTCACTGAACCTTTCAAGACTGAAATACTATCAGATTTGGACAAGAATAGCCACCAGATAGCAACAAATTCCTACATAATTAAAAAAAAATTGAAGATAAAGGATTTATAATTAATAACAAAAAAAAAGAAAATAATAATGGAGCTATGTATGGGGATATTTCTTTATCAGAGTGGCTTATAATTTTCTTACTTGGAATTGTCAAATGAGATAAAGAAAAGTCAGTATAGAAGTTTCAATTTCTTTGAGATATATTGAAAAGTCAGCATTGAAGCCTCAATTTCTTTGATTTACTCTTCCAGAAATGAGACTATGTATGAGAGTGTTGCATCATTTCCAAGTGATACTTTTTTTCTCTCAAACATCTTCTGCACTACTAAAGACTTCGCTAACAGGTGTTTGTGCCACGAATCTCAGATCGGTAAGAGAAGCGGTGACCATGGTTTTTGAAATCATGAGTCTTTGTGGTGAAAATGTGGATCTATAACAGGTGGTATCATAGCGAACCTAATTCTTCAATGATGTGGACTCTCTCTCTTCTGTAGGTGAAAGATTTAATATAATGAGAGCGTTTTATAATTGAGTAGAGAGAATGTCACGAATTACAAATTAGTAAAAGAATGGGGTGACTGGGCTTTAAATCATAAATTTTCTTCCACCTAATAGCCCTTTTTTTTTTTTTGTTGAAAATGTGAACCCATGACAGTTGCACTTAGTGCTGCAAACCCCTTAAATCATAATTTCATCCTTGTCCATCTTTGCCAAAAAAATTAACCCAAGATCACTGTTAAAAAGTTTAATTCTTAATCATGGTTTTGTAATACAGAATGTTGTGATTGTCATATAAAACCATGAGGGCCATGACTCTTGAACTGATAAACTCAGTTAATCAATCACTCAGATGAATTTTGAACTTTTATATTCTGCTGCACTTTCTTTAACATAAAAGGCAATCTCAAAGATGTGAGATCTTCAATTGCCAAACCAATCAAACATCATTTGGCAATTTCATCGAGCATCCAAAACTGAGATTGTTAGTTTGTTTTCAGAGCAGATCTCTGGCTTGCTCGGACTTGAATTTCGGATTGGATCAACCATACTTCTGACATTTGAGAAAGCTGGTAGAGCCGGAGAAGGTAAGAAGGTAAGTTCATTACTCAGCATCAAGACAACATCAGACATAGTTGGTCTGTCTGCTGGACGTTCTTGAACACAGAGAAGTGCAATGTTAATGTATCTAATTGCTGCATTGGCAGAAGAACTATCTTGCATTACCAAATCCATCAACTCCAGAGGCCTACTGCTTGTCCAAAGATCCCATGACTGAAAATAAAAGAAAAACAGTTACATGAATACACGAATTGCCAGGTCTAGTATCAGTCATCATAGAAACCTAGTAGGTTTTATCTATATACTTGAAAAATATGTCAATTATGGTCTGAAAACTTTAGAATTATCCTTAACAGATTGTAATAAATAGTAAAAAATAAAAACGTACATAAATGATATCACTCACATATCCTAGAAGATTAAGAGAATTGCTCTGATAGAAACCAGTGTTCTTCTTGCCACTTAAAATCTCTAACAACAAAACTCCGAAGCTGAAGACATCTGATTTCACTGAGAAGACACCTTCAAAGGCATACTCGGGAGCCATGTAGCCACTGTATTTCATAAGAAATCAAATTATTTACATGTTTCATGATTAAGAATAGATGCAGTGCTGATTCTATGATTTTAATATGGTAATCAGGAAATGCAATCCATTAAGGGAATGTTTCTGTTGCAGAAATACCACAGCATAGGCACCAAGTGAAAGAACATGGATAAAACTAGAGCAACAACATGGCAAATGTTGCTGGTGCAGAAAGTTCCTGATGATGCATTGATGATCTGTATGAGAGGATCCATATACACGCCAAAAACTTACTAAGTACCGACAATTCGATCAGTTGCTCGTGGTTCACTGCCTCCCAAAATTCTTGCCAACCCAAAGTCTGAAATTTTTGGGTTCATGTCTTCATCCAACAAAATGTTGCTGGCCTTCAAATCCCTGTGGATAATTTGTAGCCTGGAAAATTGATGTAGGTAAAGAAGACCTTGAGCAATCCCTTCAATGATTCGAACACGAGTTCTCCAAGCTAGTGTAAAAATATTTTTGGTATCTTCATGGATTTAAAACAGCAAAACAAAACAAACAATTAATTAAACTTAAACTATTCCTGATATAATAATTAAATGACAAACATGAGAAGTTTATGTTTGTGCTGAAATAACAAGAAGTTACCAAAGAGGAAAAAGTCTAAGCTCTTATTGGGCAAATACTCATAGACAAGAATCTTTTCATCTCCTTCAATGCAGCAACCAAGAAGTTTCACAAGATTCTTGTGTTGGAGTTTGGCTATGAGCATTGCCTCATTTTTTAACTCATCCCAACCTTGTCCAGACTTTCTTGAGAGCCTTTTTACTGCTACTTCATTCCCTTTTAGTAATTTTCCCTGAAACAGAAAATCCTTTGAGTTTCTCAACAGAAATCTAATTAATATCTGTAGTTTTTATAACAATAAAACTTTTGCACTACTTGCAAACGACATTGTTTTCTTTCATAAAAGCTTATATCATTTGAATTTTTCTTCATGAGGCTTTTTGCATCCAATTTATGAATTTTACCTTGTATACAGGTCCAAAACCACCCTCTCCAAGCTTATTTGAGACGGAGAAGTTATCGGTAGCAGCAGACACGCTTGAAAAACTGAATAGTGGAATCTCCACTTCCTTCTTATGTTTTTGTTGTCGTTTTACCACAGGTTGTTCATTTTCCATAAGTGCTGGGCTAATACTTAGTTCAAATGACAACAGATTCTCTCCTGCTGGTTAAGAATTGAGGAAGCATGGGTGGATACATAAGGTTACTCGGATTTGAGTGCATAGGCATTGACAGGTTCGTGCATTTAGGGCTCCAAAAAATGAAATTCTAACAATATATTAATCTATTATTTGAAAAACCACAAATAAATTTAATCTATTGTTAGATAAACCAAGTAAACTGCAGATCCTTATTGTTAGTGCTGCTGCATTGGAAAGATCATTTGCATGTAAGTTTGGTCTAATGACCTCAAAACAATTCAAGCTAGCCCTTTAAGATGATGGTGTATTGTGCATGTAAGAAAGCACATTAGGCAAATGAGGACAAAAAATCATGCTAAGTTGCTTCTATATTGCTAGAGAAAAACTTTCACCTTTTCTTTTGTCCTTTTTCATCTTCACTATCCAAATGAGAATGGCTGAAGTAAGAATTGTCACAGAAATTGTCACCGATATAATAATTGATCGATTCCTCTTACTTCGTGTGTGTTCTGCATGTCCCAAAACATACAAGTAGCTACTCAGAAAAATCTTGGGTAAGAGGGAATGAGCATATGAAATTCATGTGAAAGCAGAAAATTTTAAAGAGAACCACTATCCTTACTTCCTGTCTCCAAATCAGTAGCCGCGAGTTTGAGAAAAAAATCTGTTCCCGAAATATCATTAGCTGAAAGTTGCTGCAAATTAATAAGATCTCCGATCCAGATGGAGCAATTTTGATTGATATAAGAAAAACCAGTACAGGAGCAACTACTTAAGCATGATGACCTGCATTCATCAATACTCTGAACCTTTTGAGTCAGCTGTTTCTTGGGCACTACTACTTTAGACAGCTTAAGAAATCTATCCCCTGCACCCGTGCTATTGCCACATTGTAAAACAGTTTTCCTTTGGCACCCATCTCTATAGTCTCCTTTCTCCCAAAACTTGGGTGCGCTTGGTTCAAATCCAGGTAAACAGCTGCAATATGGTGATGAAACATTGGTGCAGCTCGTATTGGCTCCACAATAAGCATAAACGTCGCATAGTTGTCTAGGTTGAGAGTTGAACAGATTCCACTCATTGTCTAACCATACAAATTGTTTCAACTGTCCTGTTGCATCAATAGTAAATCTACTAATGATGTCTTTCCTATAGAGGTCGTAAGTGAGATAAGACATGTCAAATTCGGAAACAAAGTTAAAGTTGTAATTGTTCAATCTCGTTTCTGGAGGGAAATCAAATACGTCAGCATAATCTTCCCCAGGCCTAGATCGCCAGTATATTTCATCACCGTTCAAGATCAAAATCCGCCCTTCTCTCGAATCCAATTCCAAGGTGAAATTTCCACGACTAGGGTCATTGGCACTTTTCCAAGAGGCATAAGACCAATTTTTTCTATTCCCTCTATCATATCCAAGTTTCATTCCAGGCAAGAAAGTATGAGAAGGGAAGTCAAAGCTCTGCCATAAGACGTTGGATTTTTCATCTCTCACAACAAGATTTCCTGAATCCAACAATGTAGCACTCACATTTGCATTAGATGCTATGTCTGACACCATGTAAATTATCTTGCCTTCCCTAATCACTAGGTTGCCATCAAAACTAATACTGAGAACTGCAGAAGCAGAGAGAGGAAAATCTCGGTTTGCTAACCAAACAACTGTTTGTTCCGAGACAAACTTGTACCAAATTGCCACATAGCAATTCGTTGAATCGCCTGGGTAAAAAAATCCTAATTCAAACATTTGACCAGATGATACTATAGTTTCTGAGCTACTGAGGTGTTGCCCTTGTGAGATTGTATCTGTTACAGCGTCATAGTATTTCAAGATGTGGCATGAAAACATCGGGAGGAGAACAGGATAAACAAATTGGGTTTTTGAATTCATTTTATTACCTATAAGTAATCCAAATGCAATGATGAAAGCTGGATCTAGTTTCATGGTATCAGAGTCCGCTTTTCCTAATGGTTACTAAGTTCGGATCATGTCAACTCAACATTTTTCTTTACATAAGTATGCAATATCAAACTCCCACTATCATGTAACTGAAGAACCTTCAACTTCAACCTGAATCCAAACTTATATGTTTAAACGTTTATCCCTTTCAATTAGCTATCATGGTATCTGACTCTGATTGATTAAGGGTTCAGAGTTTGAATCCTTTCACCACTAAACATTCAGCTTTAAATAAAAATGAATATTCAACTTCAATCTATATTGCTACATGCACCACAAGAAGCAACTGGGGAATGACAAATACCTGCAGCAGAACCCGAACTCATATTTGCCAGAGCAGCAGATGGAATCAGTATTATAGCCTGTTTGTTGTATGAATGTCTATAAAATATTGCATCCACTGATCAGGATTTTAAAGAAAGCCCTCTGAAAATTCTTCTAACAAAAGATGACAGGGTTGCAAAATGACAAATTATACCAACAAGACGAATACAAGTCTTGGTCTGCAGAAGATTAGTACAAAAATATCACAATGTTGACTAAAGAAATTGCGTGCAGCTATGTTTTCTATGTTCACATATAACTTCTTGTCAGTGGGTTATCTAATACCCCAGCCTAAATCATAACGGGGTTAGACTGTTATGAAAATCCATTAATTTATTTAAGAGATTATTTATTTTAAAAAAATAAAATATTATATGAAAGAAAATCTAACTATTGTAAAACAGAAAAGAAATGAAGTTCTTTCTTAGGGTTAGAAAATAAAAAAAATTAAGTTCGAGATTCAAAATCAGAGATTATAATCAAGTTAATCTTCTAAAAGTGAGTATATGTCAATTTTTTATTTTAAAAAAATATTATGTTAGATACTATTATTTGGAGTTGAAATTTTGATAGAAAAATAAAAAATTATGAAATCTTCATGATTTATTCGAGAAAACTGCTGGGTTTTGTTTTATTAATGCTATTAAGATTTAATGATAATTATTGAATGGATTTTAAAAATTAAAAGCGGGGATTTGAATTTTTAAAAATTAGAGGAGAAATTCTATTTTTTTTATGAGATCCTATTAGTGAAGTAAATGAAATTCTATATTAATGGATAGATTATTACTATAAGTGTTATACATTGTTGGAAAACTTGTTGAATCTACGTTCCAAAGGAATAAAGAGAAGTCAATTCTGAGTTTTCTATAAAGAGTTATCTAATTTTTACTTAAGAATGTGTAGGCTACATGGCAGTAGCATCAATGATAAATTTCAAAAATTGTGTTAAATTTTATGGAAGGAATTGTAGATTAAGCCATATATTTTTTGAAAGCTTATTGAGTCTATTTTACAAGAAAACAAGTGAAATGGAATTTTAATTTTCCTATGAATAAATATGTAATTTTTATTAGAAAGTATACATGCTATTTAGCAATAGCATATGATATAGATTGCAAAATTTATTACAATTAATCTATAATGAATTAAGAGGTGTGCCATATATCGTTAGAAAGCTTATCAAGTCTAGTTTCTAACGCACTATAAAGATCTTAATTCCAAGTTGTATATCTTGAGATATAGTCATTTTAGTAAAAGTAGTGCGGGCTGTTAGAATTAGTTAGTTGAGCTAATTCTTGAATAACTTAGTTGTTTTGTAGTATAAATGGTATTAAAATGGGTTTATTAATTTCTATTATGTTGAAATTATCTTGAATAGGTCATTAATTATTTTGAGAGAAAAAACTAAGTGGTTGAATTGGAAGGAGGTAAGTGTAATCTCATACACTTGTTTTCGAATCCATATATATATATGTTTCTAAATGAATGAATGTTTTATTTCTTATTTTCTATGCATGAAAATAGGATCAAGAATATGATTATTTTGTGTTTTATTACATAAATGATGGATCATGCTTATGAATGAAATAAGAAATTGATTTATGTTTAAAGACCGATTTATGATAGTTACATTTTTACATCCTTGAAAAGTGGGATCATCGACACCAAAACTAGTTCTACGGCCCTAGCTAATGGATTATAGTAGTTAGCATAATCATAATTATACGGTCTTGCTAACAGGTTATAGTAGTTAGTGTAAGGCTTTGACTAACGAGTTATAATAGTTAGCAATGATCATGAGGATAAAATTATTGATACGACCAATGTCACGAGTTATAATATTAACCATAACTAATGATAAATTAATGATAATGATGATTTATGATGATGATGATGATTTTTAAATATTGATCCATGATTTGTATAGAAAATGATTTATGATAATTTCTGAAGATTGATTAGTGGTTTGGTTTGATTAGGATATTCAAATGACAACATATGTTGTAATGATTTAAGATTTACATGTTTTGATGTTGATTTATGATTTACAAAATGTTTTACTTAATGATGATTTTTGAAATGTTTTGACATTATAATTTGATGAATGTTTTTGAGTGACTTATATGATATGTATAAAAATAATACTTGATCTGATAAGGTGTGTAAGTTTATACTTACTGAGCTATGGTTTATTCATTTTTTTTTCTTTCCAGATGAGTAAGTAATAAGTTTGCTTTGTCTTCTGAGAAACTAGAAAATAAAATTGGAAAGATTACTTGGGCATTGAAGATATTGTTGGCCAATAAGATCTGATAAAATAGTTTTATATTTTTTGTTAGTTTACATTTGGATTTATATAGATTTATCATTAGTTGAATTAAAGTTATGGATTTTTCTTGGGCAGATTATTTTTATTGAGAAATTTCATAATGATTAATAAAAAAGACTTTGTATTATTTTGGGATTTTCTTCAAGGTAATATGACTATATTATGTCTTGATCTTGGGGCTGACAGGTTACTATTGGTCAAGCACTTAACTAATTAATCTAGCAATGCCAAATGAACTAGAAAATGAACCAATTGATTCTTTTCATCATGATTTTCTAATTACACAATAATGTGTTTGTGGAGACCTACACCTATTGTTTTTTTTTTTTAAGGGGAGGGCATAACCCTTACAATGGGGAAAAGGGAGGAGATCTTGGCTCTAAACTAGAACCTCTATGTTCTTATAAAACCTTTTTAACCATTAAACTAAGAGGTGAAAGACACATATTGTCTATTTTAACCAAAAGGTCTTATTATTTTATTTCACAAATAATATCTCACAAGTATAATTGTAACAAATCTTCATGATATCCCAATATGGGATTAGGATTGGAGAGTTACATTGTTTGCCATTGAAAATGAAGCTAGGCATTCTAGTTAATTATCATTACTTTTATTCATCGATTCAAAGACAAAATTTATAGATTTTCTTCTAGAATGCAAATAGCATCAACAGCCTTGGTAATAATAAGCTTAGTTGGTCAAAACATGCTAAGCTTAAGTTTCACAAATGTATAACTCTCTAATTAAATTACTATCTTGTGAAAAAAAAAAAGGAAAGATAAAACAACAATGAAATATAGGTTCAATGTAGCCTACAAGGAAAGAAAGAAAAAAAGAAATGAACCAGTTTCAGGAATTTTTGTCTTCCTCTCGGCATTGTAATGTTAGTGCCTCATTCCTTGAAGCTATATATATATTTATTGGAACTCTTTTCTTAAAAAAATGAAATTGGTTCTATGGATGAGACAAAATTGTTTTTTATATCTATGAAACACCCCAATCTCATATTGAAAGAATGTGTAGATAAGAAATGATATATATGTAGAGATCTAAACCCAAACTTGTGAGATACCTTTTGTGGGACAAAACTGTGAGACTTTCAGGTTAAAACAGACAATACCTCTTAAGTTAGATGTGGGTCTCCACAAAAGGTATCAGAGCAGGGTTACTGGTTGATGGTCGTTGGAGTCATTAAGTACTACACGGTAGTCTGTTGTGATCTTGGTTCTATAGTTAGACTCGGCTTGATAGAGATGTCAAGCTTTAAAGGTGAGGAAATTATAATACCCCAATCTCAATTAAAAGAATGTGTGGATAAGGAATGATATATATGTAGAGATCTAAACCCAAACTTGTGAGACATTTTTTATGGGACAAAACCATGAGATTTTCGAGTCAAAACAAACAATACTTTGCAAGTTAAATGTGGATCCCATAAAAGGCACCTCACAAGTTTGGGTTTAGATTTTTACATATATATCATTTCTTATAGTTACTCAATTAGTCATATAGTCACTTTTAAGATATGGTATTTAAAGTTTAAAATTCAAATCTCAACATTTATAATTTTTTTCCCTATTCCAAGCTACAACCTTCCTTATAATATATATATATATAGACACACACACACACACACACACACACACTGTCATCATACCCTGTAAACCTTATCCTAGCCATCATGCCCTACCACTGTCAGATAAGATAGAAGAAATAAAAGGGGTAGGAAGGCTCGTGCTTGCACCCCCATGTCGAGCCTTGTGCCACTCACTCAGGCACGAGGCATAGTCGGAGCTCTATAAATAAAGCTCCTAGTCGAACCTAAAAAAAGAGGGGAAGAATACCCTGCCAAAAAAGAAAGGGAAAAGCTTTCTGCCAGAAAGACAACAAAAAAAAATAAAAAGGAAAAAAAATCAACTCAGTCCCCTGGAACAAGGAACCCATCACCAAGATCCCCTGCAAAAAAAGAAGCAAAGTCAGTAAAAAAATCAGAATAAAAAAAAGTTTGGCCGAAAGTTAAAAGGTAGATATAGGGGATTTGGGACTTTTTTGGAAGATTTTGACATTTTTTGATACCGATGCCAGCAGTCGAAGCTTACTGTCAGTGAGGACCACGACAGCCATCACAATGGACAGTCACCGGGCCTAGATCGACCTGAAAAAAAGAAAAAAAAAGAATATCAACTATTTTGTGTCTAAAATGTGTAAAACACGAAAACTATGATATTCCAATTCGTGTCGGCACATCAAACACAAAAACACATTTTATTTTGTTTTTATCAAACTCATAAATGTTTTTTGCTAAAATTTTAAATCCTATCATTCTTTTTATATCATTTTCGTATTTAAAATTGTCAGGTCTACTATTAGGTACAAGTTGTCTGTAACTAAGATTTTCTTGATGTTTTTCAGTCATGGAGATTGTGGATGGATGGGAAGCCACTGGACCTAATCGATAAATATTTGCTAAACTCTTGTGTTGTATCAGAAACGTTAAGATGCATCCATGTAGGACTGCTGTGTGTTCAACAACTACCAGAAGACAGGCCAAACATGGCTTCAGTGGTTCTAATGTTGGGGAGTGATGGTTCATTGCCTCAGCCAAAGCAACCCGGTTTCTACACAGAAAGGAATCCTCTTGGGATAGAATCTTCATCATATTCAGTAAATGAAATTACCTGTACGCTCTTAGAGGCACGATAGATATAAGTAGTCTGAGAGTTTTTGGATTACTGGTAAGCATATGTTTAGCCTGTTTAACTGCACTAACAGGCATATGTTTAACCTGGTGGAGTGAGGCATAGATGCATTCTGTAGTTGTCAAGATATTTGAGTTTTGAGGGTGTTTCAATGTATATGGAATTTAATTTCAAATTAGTCAAAGCCCCAAAACATTCTAAGATAAAAAGAAAATGGCAGAGCCATATC